GGCTGACAATGAGACAGCCATTAGAGGATTTGGGGGAAGGATTAATCCATTTATAAACATAGCATTTTCTCTGAAACTGCTATTTTTATAAAAAAAAATGGGTTAACCCTAGCTGGACCTGGCACCCAGACCACTTCATTAAGCTGAAGTGGCCTGGGTGCCTAGAGTGGTCATGTAACGCGAATAACCACAGCTTACCGATATTCAGTACATTTACGATTTCAAAATTATAAATAAAAAAAAATTTGAAAGGTAAATGCACAAAATATACATGACACATGTACTAGATGCAGTGTGTTTATACAGGGGAGTTGTGTGTATTTGTGTAGTGTGTATATAATGAATGCATAGTGTGTGTGTGGTGTGTGTGTTTCTGGAGGTATGTAATTTAGGTTTCATTCTGTCAAATTTTTAATAAATGTTACCACTCAAAAACATTGCCTACCTTGATCAAAGTCTCGCACAATGCTGATTCTGATGACGCAAGACAATTCTCTGAAAATAAAAACAAAACAATATTTTATTTAAAAGAAATTAAAATTCATGTTTAAGATTAGTTGGATACGTAAACATGATTTTGACTGTGTGCCAGCAGGCGAAAAATGCAGCCCCAAGAAAGGAAAAGGAAAAATTCAGGGCAGCACTGTTCACGTGCTGAGCAACAGTGAAACTGTGGCAATATGGAGAAATGTATTTCTTCAACACAGCCGTTTTATGTATGCCCTCAAGGAAAGCACAGGAGAAGAGTCTGCCTTGCATGCGCAGAAGCACAAGATGAAGGACAGATCTTTTCCTGCGCTACAAGGATGGCATACTAAAATGGTACATTCCGATTGAAAACACAATACAACACTCCCAAACGGGTGGAAAAAAAAAATTGAAAGAAAGAAAGAAAGAAAAAAAAGTGAGTTTGACTGTGTGCCAGCAGGCGAAAAATGCAGCCCCAAGAAAGGAAAAGTAAAAATTCAGGGCAGCACTGTTCACGTGCTGAGCAACAGTGAAACTGTGGCAATATGGAGAAATGTATTTCTTCAACACGGCCGTTTTATGTATGCCCTCAAGGAAAGCACAGGAGAAGAGTCTGCCTTGCATGCGCAGAAGCGCAAGATGAAGGACAGATCTTTTCCTGCGCTCCAAGGATGGCATACTAAAATGGTACATTCCGATTGAAAACACAATACAACACTCCCAAACGGGTGGAAAAAAAAAATTGAAAGAAAGAAAGAAAGAAAAAAAAGTGAGTTTGACTGTGTGCCAGCAGGCGAAAAATGCAGCCCCAAGAAAGGAAAAGTAAAAATTCAGGGCAGCACTGTTCACGTGCTGAGCAACAGTGAAACTGTGGCAATATGGAGAAATGTATTTCTTCAACACGGCCGTTTTATGTATGCCCTCAAGGAAAGCACAGGAGAAGAGTCTGCCTTGCATGCGCAGAAGCGCAAGATGAAGGACAGATCTTTTCCTGCGCTCCAAGGATGGCATACTAAAATGGTACATACCGATTGAAAACACAATACAACACTCCCAAACGGGTGGAAAAAAAAAATTTAAAGAAAGAAAGAAAAAAAGGGAGTTTGACTGTGTGCCAGCAGGCGAAAAATGCAGCCCCAAGAAAGGAAAAGTAAAAATTCAGGGCAGCACTTTTCACGTGCTGAGCAACAGTGAAACTGTGGCAATATGGAGAAATGTATTTCTTCAACACAGCCATTTTATGTATGCCCTCAAGGAAAGCACAGGAGAAGAGCCTGCCTTGCATGCGCAGAAGCGCAAGATGAAGGACAGACCTTTTCCTGCGCTCCAAGGATGGCATACTAAAATGGTACATACCGATTGAAAACACAATACAACACTCCCAAACGGGTGGAAAAAAAAATTGAAAGAAAGAAAGAAAGAAAGAAAAAAAGTGAGTTTGACTGTGTGCCAGCAGGCGAAAAATGCAGCTCCAAGAAAGGAAAAGTAAAAATTCAGGGCAGCACTTTTCATGTGCTGAGCAACAGTGAAACTGTGGCAATATAGAGAAATGTATTTCAGCACCAGAACCTTTTGCATAGATATCTCTTTATCCTATATGTATAAGCATACAATAAGACAAAGAGAGCCAGGCAAACTTTACCCCAAAATATAGACAAATTAAAACTTACCGTAACCACTTTGAATTTTTCACAAATTCGATTGCGCTTTGTACGATTCGTAAATCTGCGTTCTGAAATTGAAAAGAAGATAAATATTATTTTAAAAATTAATTTGTTGTAATTTATATATATATATATATATATATATATATACACACAATTCTAAAAGTATATATATATATATATATAGATATATATATATATACGACTGTATGTATGTCTGTAATGTATTGTTTTTGGTGCGACATATGTAAACTAATAAATGAAAACAATGTATGCAGACATACAACTACATATACTAATACAATTAATAAATACATTGAAAATATCTCAGAAAATATTTTTAAAAATACATATATAAAAAATACATATATAAAAAAACATATATAAAAAAATACATATGTAAACAAATACATATATAAAAAAATACATATGTACACACATAAAAACAAATATATATAAAATTAAATAGCAAAATGTAAACAAAAATAACAGTTAAAATAGTAAAATAGATTACATGTCATATGTAAACAAATCTAGATTGTTTTAAATAATGCAAATAGATAAAGTAAAGATTAAACAAATGACTAACTAAAATTAAAAAATAAAAACAATACAAAGACATTAAATTAATAATAAAATACAAATAGGATAAAAGTTTACTTACAGTCAATGTGCAGCCAGATTCTGTTAGGGGAGATGCTGCTTCTTCTTCTGTACTCCGTCTTCACACTGGCCTCCAAGGAATAAAACTGAGATGTGAACGCGCTCGGCGCGTTCACATCTCAGCATAGTCTCTAATGCAGGCGTGCTCACATCTGAGCTGCCTGCATTAGAGGGAATGACGTTAGACGTCCAAGAGGACGTCTGACGTCAGCTCACTGTGATTTTAACAGTGAGGATTGAGGAAGCACCATCTAGTGGCTGTCTCAGAGACAGCCACTGTAGGTGGGAATAGGGAAAAAAAATTACACTGTTTTTTCTCTGAAACGGCAGTGTATTTAAAAAAACAAAAAAAAAAAACTAGTGGTACCTGGCACCAAGACAACTTCATTGAAATGAAGTTGTCTTGGTGCCTAGAGTGGTCCTTTAAATTTACCAATTTTAAAGATTAAACAAAAATAAAATACAAACCATTCTCCACAGTATACAAACCACTCCAAGCAACATCTGGTTTTCTAACTCCTACTTGAAAGAGTCTACTTAATAGAGTCTGCTTTCAAGTAATGTGAGCAATTGTAATAATTTTATTTAAAAACACCTCACCCAGGCAAAAAAATTATTGAGGTTTAGTTACATTATATGATCATATATTGCATAAGCCTGCCACATCAATGTACCCCATTTTTGTTGTATATATTGGCATGTTCTTGATTCTTAAGCAAATGACATGTGTTGACACCGAAACGTGTGTCAGTTTTTTTTTTGCTCATCATTTTATTTTCATTTCCAGCACATTATGAATAACATAGTTTAACCCCTTAACACCGTTAGGGTGTACTATGCTGTCCCACATTAAGTGAGCCTAAACCCCATTTTTGTTGTATATATTGGACCCAGCAGCACCCTATAATGTATGCATGTTCAGGTGAGTGCAGCCTTCTTGGGTTAATTTGTTATATATATATATATATATATATATATATATATATATATATATATATTGGAACAAGCCACCTCTTTTACAGGTAGGATTTTGTCACAGATCTTAGGGTAATCAAAGTCCAGAACACGGGGTTTAGGCTCACTCAATGTGGGACGGCATAGTACGCCCTAACGGTGTTAAGGGGTTAAACTATGTTATTCATAATGTGCTGGAAATTAAAATAAAATGATGAGCAAAAACAACCTGACACGCGTTTCGGTGTTCACACATGTCATTTGCTTA